GCTTGTAATCTTATTTACACATTAGATTCATTTTCCTCCGTATCATTTTTAGGAGACCAGTTTCCATGAAAGGGAGCTTGGTGATAACAGAAGGGATAAAGAGACAATCTAACGCAGAAATAGAGAGACCTGATTTAGGGCCACATAGATTAAGGGGAGGTTGCTGACCCCTCCCTTACTGACTAGGTGACCTTAGAGAAGTTATTCCTCCTCTTCTGCCCTCAATTTTCTTGTCTATCAATTAGAAGAACCTACCTTAAAAGACTGTGTGGGAATAAAATGACAAGATGTCGGTACAGACTTCAGTACAATGCCTGACACAATGTAAGCCCACGCAAACACTGGTATACTGCATTTTATTAGAAAGAACGATTTTTCTTCTACTGCTTCTCACATTATAATAATGTGACATAAAGACATATGTGGACAGATATCTCATAGTTTCATCAGGAGGCAGATAGTCTCCAATACCAGTTTGTCATGATTACCAGGCCACAGAGGAGTTTAGGCAGCTAATCTAGGGAGCTAGGTTTGTATTTTTTCTCTTCTTTTGTAGTTACTCCATTCCAGACTAGAAGTTTGAATTTATAATTTTATTTAATTAATTTTATTTATTTATTTTTGAGACGGAGTCTCACTCTGTCGCCCAGGCTGCAGTGCAGTGGCGTGATCTTGGTTCACTGCAACCTCTGCCTCCCAGGTTAAAGCGATTCTCCTGCCTCGCCTCCTGAGTAGCTGAGACTACAGGAGCCCGCCACCACACCCAGCTAATTTTTAGCTGTATTTTTGGTAGAGATGGGGTTTGAATTTAAACGGTGAGCTTTTCATGGTTATTGAGTAGGAGTAGGAGGAGGGGGGAACTGTAAAGGAATGAAAAAGGAAGAGAAAACTTCTTGAACCCCTCCTACATGCCAGGAACTAATTTAGATATATCTGCAGTTATACGTGAGGAAAGCTGGAAGGTTGCATCAGGGTTATAGAACTCAAGAACCACCTTGACAGGTGAATGGGTATGGGCATTGTCTCTCTATCTAACAGCTGAGATTAACTTTTGTTCTTTTCTTCTCACTCATAACCTCTTCCAATAGAATAAAGAGATGCATTTTCTCTGGGTTAGGCTCTCAGTTACTCTAGCTCTAAGTGCTCTGAACATCAGGAAATCACTCTGTACGGGGTGTCAGCTGGGCTTCTAGGACCCCTGGGTGTGGAGGAGTTAAGGAGAGTAATCATTTATCAATACATTTATCCACAACATTTTTATTATGAATGTGTTTATTCTGCAACTCTTTATTAAGACTGCAGAGGTGGAAATGCTATCTATCACTGTAAGACTGATAGACCTAGAGCATTGTAGGAATGTCCTGGAAAAAGAAATTGGCCTGAAGATGTTGGCATTTGTGCAGAACGTAGAAAGTCGGAGTTAGAAAGCAAAGCAAAGCTTGTGGGAGACAGCACAGTACATGTATTAAGGAACAGACTCGCACATATCTAGGTCTGCATTTTGTCTTCCTATCTTTCTTACTATTGACTTTGGACAAGTTCTTTATTTTTCTGAGCTTTAATTGTATTTCTGTAAATTTAGGGAAAAGTACCTTATATATGGGGTTATAGTGAACGTTAAAGGAGATAATGTAGGTAAAACATTTAGCACAGTGCCTGACTTATAATCGCTCAAATATAATGGCCATTATTATTATCTGGTCTTTAGCAGTGTTCACTTCTTGCTTCTGTCAACAATCTTTTCCTTAGACTTTAAACTTCTGCTTCTTTTTCTTTAAAGACTATTTTTTGGTTCACAACAAAATTGAGATGAAGGTACAGAGATTTCTCATATACCTCCATCCTCACACAAACATGGCCTCTCCCCTTATTAACATCCCCAAGGGTAGTATGTGTGTTACAACTGGTAAACCGGTGAACTTATATTGATGCATTGCCATCACACAAAATCCATAGTTTACATTAGGGTTCACTCTTGGTATTGTACATTCTATAGGTTTAGACACATATATAATAACCAATATCCACTATTACAGTATCTTACAGAGTATTTTCACTGCCTAAAAATCTTCTGTGAAGCTTCTTTTTTAAAAAAAAAAAACAGCTTTTATTGAGATATAATTCACATACCATATAATTCACCTATTTAAAGTTTGCAATTCAATGGTTTTTAATATATTCAAAGAGTCATCCATAATCTAATTTTAGAATATTTTCCTCACTCTCAAAAGAAAATCCACATCCATTAGCAGCACTCTCTATTCCTCTTTCATCTCTTCCCTACATCCACTTCTAGGTAACCACAAATCTATTTTCTGTCTCTATAGATTTACCTATTCTGAACAGTTCATATAAATGTAATCATGTAATATGTGATCTTTTGTGACTAGCTTCTTTCATTTAGCATGTTTTCAAAGTTCATCCATGTTGAAGCGTTGTGTCAGTACTTTGTTCCTTTGTATTGCTGAATGACATTCCATCGTATAGATATATCACACTTTATCCATTCACTTTTGAAAGACATCTGAGTTGTTTCCATTTTTTTGCTATTACAAATAATGACACCATGAACATTTACATGCGAGTTTCTGTGAGAACATATGTTTTCATTTCTTTGGGGTATATACATAGGAGTGGAATTTCTGGATTTTATGACAGCCTGTCAACCTTTAGAGGAACTGGCAGATTGTGAGCCAAAGAGGCATTTTGTGTTTCCACAAACACCCTATGAGTGCTCCAGTTTCTCCATTCTCTCCAATACTTGTTACAATCTGTCTTTTTTATTATAGCCATCCTAGTGGGTATGAAATGGTATTATATTGTGGTATTGATGTGCCTTTCCCAAATGGCTAAAGATGTTTGGTATATCTCCTTTGGAGCAATGTCTAAAATCCTTTGGGTATTTTGATTTTTTTGTTAGACAGCGTCTCGCTCTGTTGCCGAGTCTGGAGCTCAGTACCATGATCATACCTCACTGCAGCTCCTGACTCCTGGGCTCAAGCCATCCTCCTGCCTCAGCCTCCAAGTAGCTGGGAACACAGACACATGGCACCATGCCTGGCTAATTTTTTAAAATCTTTGGTAGAGACAGGATCTCTCTATGTTGCCCAAGCTGGTCTCGAAATCCTGGGCTCAAGTGATCCTCCTGCCTCAGCCTCCCAAAGTGTTGGGATTACAGGAGTGAGCCACCATGGTTTGCCAAGTATTTTGAATTTTAAGAGTTTTACACATACTCTAGCTACAAGTCCCTTATCAGATATATAATTTACAAACATTTTCTCCTGCTCTCTGGGCTCTCATTTCACTCTTTTGATGGTATTGCTTATAGCACAAAAGTTTTTAAAGCTTCTTTTAAGTATAACTTATGGAAGTTTATATTTCAGCAGTTATCTCCTAAATAATATTCATGCTGGTAGACTTTCAGTGGAAGACTTGGCCTTGTTCTTCATGGACAAAAATGAGGCCCTCAGTATGTAAAAATCCTCTAATTATAACCTTCCCGTCACATAGCTGTTGACCTACATTGGCATCTACCCTTACCTGCGTTCACTACCCATTCTCTTGAAATAAAAAGAGCTTATTCTAGTCAATACCAACACTCCAGCTGGGTTCTTGACCTCATCCTCTCTCTATTCTCCCAGGACATTCCTCTGTCACTTAATCTCTCTGTTTCCTAGATCTTTAACATCTCTCTCAGCCTGTGAGACAGTTTGCCTTACTCCTTCCCATTTTGGAAAAAAAAACCCAAAAACTTGTCTTGATCTGCATCCTCCAACTATACATCTCTAGTCTTGTTCTCTACCCTGCACTTCACTTGGATGCCCTATAGATATATTTCAATTCAACACGTCCAGAATTAAATTCTCCTCCTCATCCCACATCCGTTCTACTTCCAGTATTTCCATTTGTAGATAATGGCACCATCATCCATCACTTACCCAAATCAAACCCTCTCTCCCCTGTACCCACCTTCTAGAATCAATAACTCATGTTGGCTTGATGCATTTTACCTCCTAGTCTGCATCTCACTATTGTACATAAATGCCTTTAGTTTAGTTTCTTAGCATCTCTCCCCTGAATTATTGTATAGACCTCTAACTTATCTTTATTATTGTATAGACCTCTAACTTATCTTTCTACCTCCAATTCTGCCACCATTAAGGTTCATTCTCCTTAATATACCAAGAGCAATATAAACAAAACCTGGTATGTTTTAGCATTTGAATAGGAGATGGTGATTGTCACCTCATTAGGTAATGTACATCACTGGTTATGTGACTTTTGATAACTCATCTTCAGTCTCTGGCTCCTCATTTGTTAAATTTAAAAAATGACAGCACTTAGTCTTAGAGACATTGTGAGAATCGAGTGGGACAATATTTGGCATACTAGGTGTACAACAAATGGGGGCCCTTACTTACATGACAGTGGGACCAGGTCATCTCCTGGGGCTCCCCTGTGTCCACAGAGAATATTAGATATGTCAGCTGCAAGAAGCCAGACTTAAAGTCAGGAACTCTTTGGGAAGCTCTTGAGAACAAGGACACTGGTTTCTTTCCCTATAACTTGGGATTTGTAAAAATTAGAAGAAATAATAAAGACAAAGTACCTAACAGGGTGGCTGGTAAATAATCAGCATGGGATGAAGAATAGAAAATAAGCAGCAACATGGCCAAGAAGAAATAACTATGCTAAGAAACTGGTTCCTCTTTTGGTTTAAGCATTGTCCATTACTCGTTTGCCAGAATTTGTCTATTCTAGACAAAAGTGTGCTTTTGTTGTTAGTGGTGCTGCTGGTGGTGAAGTTCTGTTGTTTTACAGGGAAGATAGCAGTGAAATAACAGGGTGATCCAAGACGTCTGTTTTTCAACTCTAGCAGCAGTTAGTTTTCCCGGATGTTCAAAATCTGTGTTCAACAGATGAAGTTCTATTGACCTTGAGTGTTCAGAGATCAGTTCAGCTTTCCAATCATGGTACCTCTTTTTTCTTGCTGTGTGCAGGCTGGCACTGATCTCAGTTTATCCTTTGAGATTCTGCAGAAGATCCTGATGGAGGAGGATGATACCCAGAGAGAGGTGCCCAAGGAAGATGGAGTTGGTGATGTGCAACATTTCGGTGAGAACTTTATTGTCAGAGGTTTTCAGTACATATTTACAAGTTCTTACTCCATCATACATATTGAGAATGAGCTGGCATTTTCAAGTAAAAACCCAGGAGTCCAGCAATCACTGGGGAAGAAAGCCTGAGGTTGGCAATTCTTACCCAGAACTCTGGTCACCTGCTTGTTCACAGGTCACCGTATCTTACCTCACTGAAGACATATATTGAGGTTTTATTTAAGCCAGATGCTGAAGGATGGGAAGACCCAAGCAGCTGGTGTGGAGGTCTTTCCCAGTGACTCATCAGTCACTCAGAAATCAAAGCCTGCACAAGAAAGGGTGGGATGGGATGCATAGAGAAAGACACTAAGCCTTTAGACTCTAGCAGAGCAGCTGATATTGACATCTCTAAGCAGGGAGGAGGCTCCAACACAACTACTCCCAATTCACAGGGTTTGCGGTTCTGGTTGAAATCTTTGCAAAGGTTTCCCCTGGCACTCAAACAGAATAAATAGGCTTATACAGTGTATATATTCCTCATTATTTTTTATTATGCCTCAGATGATCAAGTAACCAGAGAGCTGAGGGATAAGCTTGGTTACCTAGTTTCAGCCAATCTCATTAGTATTTCTTTCAGACCAGCTGACCAGCTCTGTATTGCAAAGTCTTCTTGTGTTAAGGGAGGGCGATTCCAAACTAGATTTAATTTTTCATTTACTCATCGTGCTAAGTTCTAGACACAAGAAGTTAAAATAGAAAAATCAGTGTTAGGGCTCTCCAGAGAAACAGAACCAATAGAACACACACACACACACACACACACTCACACACACACACACACACAGAGAGAGAGAGAGAGAGAGAGAAACAAAAAGAGATTTTAAGGAATTATCTTACTAAGTTGCTCTATTGTGGGGCTGGCTGGGAATTCTGCAATCAGTTGAGAATGTATATCTTGAGCAGACACGGAAAATAAAATAGAAACATTGCAATATGATGATGTGAAATACTTTGACATCTAACCAAAACCAGTCATGGAGTTGGAGAAAGCTTTCTGGAGAGGGTGATTTCTGAAGCAACTATTGCTCAGTGAATTGTGGTTATGAAGAAAGAGATAAATGAATGTGACTCGTGTGAATAACTGCAGGCAGTTTACTGTGGCTGGAACGCTCTCTCCTTGCAGGAAGAGGAGGAAGGAATTGGCAAGCTATTAGGTGGGGAAATAACCTGGAGAAACCAGGTGACATTTTTCATTTGTTTGTTTATTTGTTTTCGTGCTAATCTGAAGATTCCAGATTTATTTTATCCTAAAGGCTTTGAGAAGTTATTGAAGAATTCTAAGCATTGGAGTGATGAGATTAGAGTTTTGGTAAAGACCAATTTATGTAATTATTTAACAAATATTTAATAGTGTCTGTCAGGTATGAAGTTCTGTTAGAGGCACTGGAAATATGACAATGAACAAGACAGAAAGATCCCAGTCCTCATACAGCTTAGAATTGTGTGCGGGAGATTAGGGGAAAAAAGACTAATAAAAGAACTTAAAATTTTAAGTACTGTTATTGAGGCTTGATTTAGGAGCTTATTACAATTCCAATATCCTCCCATCCCATCTCACCTGGCCATCACATCCTGCTATAAGTGGAAGATTTAAATAGTGAGTATTACTCAGCAACTGCCCTATACCCCATCCCATCTCATGGCCAAATGCACAGTCTTGGATTTGATACTTCTAGACCCTCTTTCCAAAATGTGGATCTTAGCTTTTTCTTTAGGCTCTGCATCTTCCATTTCCTTGGGAGAGCCTTACTTCCTGCACACCCAATGTCCCTTTAGCCCTGGGACTAATGAGGTTCCATCTTCTCTTGACTTGTTCCTGGCCCTCTCTAAAAGTGGGGAAATACCAGGTAGTAAATGAAGGCAAGGGGATGAAGAGTACTATTGACAGATGTTTAAGAGGTAAAAATTATACGATTTGGCAATGGATTGGTAATAGGGGTTGAGGAAGAATTGAGGGATTGAAGAAGTTTTCCAGTAAGGGAGTTGGATGACTGGATCTAAGAGGGTGTCCTTTACTTAACTGTAGACTACAATTAAGAAGGAGGGCTTGGGCCGGGCGCAGTGGCTCACGCCTGTAATTCCAACACTTCGGGAGGCTGAGGTGGGCAAATCACTTAAGGTCAGAAGTTCAATATCAACCTGGCCAACATGGAGAAACCCCATCTCTACTAAAAATACAAACATTTGCCGGGCATGGCGGCACATGCCTGTAGTCCCAGCTACTTGGGAGGCTGAGGCAGGGGGAATCGTTTGAACCTTGAAGGTGGAGGTTGCAGTGAGCCGAGATTGTGCCGCTGCACTCCAGCCTAGGCAACAGAGCAAAACTCCGTCGCAAAAAAAAAAAAAAAAAGAAGGAGGGCTGAGGGGTGCATGTGAGGGAAGGTGATAATGATGTAATGATTAGGACATGTTAAGTCTGCTCTGCCCAAGGGATACTCCTGTGTAGGTAAACAGTATGTGACCCTCATCTTCCCCCATGTACATTCCTAAACCTTCCTTCCTTCTTGTACTGAGGATTGTGGAAGTTGGAATGAAAAACAAAGGACTGATATTTCCAGTAGGATCAAAGCATTCAACAAAGTAATTGAGAATCTATCATAAAATGCTAATAGCCCATGAGAGATAAAACTTTCTTTTGAGAACTAATTACCAGTGAATTATTCATCAAGGGTAATGTTGCCTCCCGCCACTAGGGACCCTCATAATTGCCTGTGTAAGGAATTTTCCACCTGGATAGTCACTTTGATAACTTCTGCAGGACAAAACTAGCTTTTGCAACAGGAAAACATAAACCACATCAGAGCTTGTCTTGATTACATTGCTCATCAATGCTCCGCAGACTAGAGGAGTAAAAGGCATAAGTGCTTTGGTGCTTTGACTCCCCCAACCAGCACTCCAGTTGTTGAGGGATCTCAGACCTTATCTGGGGTTTTTGTTGAAGAAACAGAGGAACAGCCCCAGAAAGCTCTGCCAACAGGCTTGGGGTGTGGGGAGAAAAATACTCCCTTTAGACACACACAGTCATGCACTGCATAATGTTTCAATCAATGATGGACAACATGTACAACAGTGGTCCTGTAAGATTATAATGGAGCTGAAAAATGTCTTATTATCTGGTGACATGGGTATGGTAGCACAACACCTTACCTTTTCTGTGTTGAGATGTTTAGATACACAAATATTTACTATTATATTACAGTTGCCTATAGTATTCAGTATAGTAGCATTCTATATAGGCTTGTAACCTAGGAATAGGCTACACCATTCTTATGGCTATGCCATATAGACTGGGTGGGTGTGTAGTAGACTATGCCACCTAGCTTTGTGTAAGTGGACTCTATGATGTTTGCACAATGACAAAATTACCTAACAAC